ATCTGTCCATCTTGGCTAGGGTGTGCCCCTAACTGGTTGTCTCTCTCAAGTGTTCAAATTAATGCTTTTGTCCTGTGTAATCATGTTTTCCTAATAACACACTTCTGTTGAGTCACTGTCTCTCTTCTCTGACTCATACCTCTGTTCTCTGGAATTATTATGCTACTTTATTCTTTATTTTTTGAAAAATCAGAAGTATATTCTTGGTCTTCAAACATCAAGCCTAAATTCTTCGTGTCAATGGCTTGTGGCATATGATTTTTGTTGCTATTCTATTTGAATCCATTCCTTCATACATTCATTCATTCATAGTTTCAATTATTTACTCTTTTGATCAATATTTATGGAGCATATGTATGCCAGACATCATGTTAGGTTTTGAAAACCTGATAAAAAGACCATCTTTTCTTTTCTGAATAGTAATAGCCATATAATCATGGTAAAATGTGAAATAATGTTATTAAATCAATATTATTGTAGTTATTCTTATAGATGAAGAAGACAATGATGCCCAAATATAGGTATTTATGAGGGATTTGGAAAGACTTTTTATTGAGCTAATAATTTATCTGGATTTCGCTTCAGGAATATAGAAGGAAAGGGCAATTCTTTCACAAAGCAAAAATAACACATGTAAATATGTGAAAACAAAACCCAACATGCATCAAGATCTTAATGTACACTAGTATTGAGAGAAAATAAAACATAATACTATGGAAAGAAAACAATTTTTAAATGAAAAAGCCTTAGAATATGAGGCTAGAAGAAGAGATAGCTGAAAATTTTAAATTGGGAGAAATGAATATTTACACAGTAGTTTTAGTTAATATTTTCATTTTTATTGAAAATAAGATTTTGTCTAAATTTAGGTTTATGTATTATTAAAAGAGATTTGAAATTTGTTTTAAAAATATGGAATTCTCTGATGGAAATTTAAAAAAGTGAAATATAATATTAGTAAAATTGTCTTCATAAGCAAGGAAAGGAAATTACATTATTAAATTACTCTACTATTTAGAGTAGGTCTTAGAAGAAAATAAACAATATAAAAGTTAGCTTTCATTACTCTGTTGAAATTCAGTACATGGAAGTAAATATAGTAATCTCTTGAGAAACAGTACCTTGAGGGAAAACTATGTTTCAGTTAATATTGGGAGATAAAGGAAATTTTCATAGAAAAAATTAAGTACTGATGCTCCCAAATCACTATTGGTGGCAAGTTTGTCAAATTGCAGGAGGGTTGGTTGAGAGGTCTCCTCTGTTGTAGTACATTCAAATACCTAGAAATCCTACCTGAATCCTATTAATCGTTATTACTTCAAATTAGTCTTATCAACTCTTTTTAAATATTTGAAGTAGAATGTCTGACTCCGGGTCAGGAAATGTCTTTGACTGAAGAAATGTATGAGTGAACAGCCTAATATTTTGTGTCATATTTATGAAATTCCATAAAGCTCTCTTTCATTGATAGCCTGTTGCCCACTAATACAATCATAACTGTATTCTACAATTATCTTCTTTTAAAAATATACTTATTAAGATGTAATTCACATAGGACATGTTTCTTAAAATATGTAATTCAATGGTCAATAATGTAATCACGGAATTGTAAAGCCATACACAATTGATTTCTAGGACATTTTCACCATCCCATAAGGAAGCTGCATATTCATTTGGAGTCACTATTTTGCCCAGCTCTAACACCTGCCCTATACAACTACTCATATTTCTGTCTCTACATGTTTGTGTACGCTGGACATTCTGTTATAAATGGAATCATATGATACATATTCTTGTGTATCTGGTTTCTTTTATTTATCATGTTTTTCAGATTTGTCTATATTACAGTTTCTATTAATACTTAGAATTTCTTGGGAGGGTCATACTACCTGAGTATATTGTGTCAGTTTTCCAGCATTGCCATAACAAAGAACTGGTAACTTAAAATAGCAAGAATTTAATAATTCTCTCATTTGATACATTTTTATTGTGCCACTTGCTTACCTAATTCACATTTTCTGCTCATTCAAACAGAACATGGTCCCTTGTCAAGTGTAACAATGTACTATTTTTTTATTTAGTTAAGAATGTTATCTAATGCCAGTCATCTAATACATTAGGTGATGCAACTTTGTCAACTCAGAAAAATTTATTTTGGATTGCAGGATGGAAAGGGTATTGATGAGCCACTGAGAACAAGGTGACACCAAATACAGTGATTACAAACCAACAACAACGATGATCAACATTTATCCCAAAACTACAAGTATTTTATTGCCACTGAAAATCATGATTTTTATTACTACTCTGTCTAACTGTTAGTGATGACTCAGTAATAGCATGCTACATAAATATTCATAAAATCTTCTAAGAATCTCAACTAAGGGAAGCATTATTTTCGTCATTCACTAAAGCCAAACAATCACAATAAGCATAACGAAAATTATATAAAACAGTGGTTTTCTAAAATTTCTTTCATAGGTCTAAGACAAATTCAAGGCTTTTGACTGTATTTGTTTGATGAATACTTGAGTACTTTTTGTGTACGGTACACTGTGTTAGGCTTTGTTAGAGAACAACTGAGTCCATGCAAATTCAACTTCAATATTTCTCAAAAATTTCCTACTGCTTTGCCAATTTGGGCTCATCCTTTCAGTCTGTTTAGCTTCATTAAGCCCAAGATACTCAAGCCACAAAAGTATAGACACAATAATCTATTTATATCTGCAAACTGCCATAAGGAAGTGACCCAATATTAAGGGAACCTTTTATCCAGAATTTTAGAGAGTGGAACTCTGCAATTTTTAAGCTGAGAGAAGCCTTTCAGAAAAAGAGAACACAAGGTTGGTGGCCAGGCTGGACTAGAAAATCTATGAGTCAGATCGAGGGAACTTAGGTACTTTGAAAGAAGTTTTCTAAACAACTTTCAGAATATCATCCTCAGGCCCCATCCTGTTTAAAATACTGTAATGGTTTTCCGCTTTCATTTGGTTTAATTCTAAATTATTTTGTGCAACTTTAAAGGCCTTGCTTATCTCAAGAACAGAGTCTGATTTGCTTCTGAGCCAGTTTTCTGGTATTGACCCTCTCTGTGTATGCTTCCCTGTCTATTCACTCGAGCAACACTTCCTTATCTTTCAGGTTTTTAATGTAGTCATTCCTAAAACAGCATCCCATGACCTTTCCCATACCAGAAATTGTGACAAATACTTTTCTTTTTGTATTACTAAAGAATCTTGTACTTTCTCAACCCTCATGTAGCAATTCAATGTTATTGTACCCTTATTTGTCTCTAATGTAGAGATACACATAAAATACTTTTGAAATAAAAAAGAAAAATCTTAATTATACTTTTGTACATTTTAAAAATAGGTATTTCCTGACAAGGGGAACTGAGACCTATAAAAATTCAATAAAATATTTTAAAATAAAGTATTTAAGAAATAATTTGTGTTCATTAAAACCAAAATCTTTGTATAATTACATAAAAATATTAAAACATATATGCAGAATGATTATTATTCTTATATATTCATGGTTTAAATAAATTGTTAGCCTCATATGTAATACTGTGTTATTTTTACTTCTGGAAAAATATTTTTGAAAAATCAAATTGCTTCCAACTTTTGCATAAAACTTCTGGCAAGCTTCAGAGTTATGCTTCATGATTGATTGGTCTTTATAAGGCACAGTATTTTTAGCTGAGAAAATATTCTCCTTACATATACTAATGTACCTGATAATTTCTAGAAACTTTTTGCTTAATGTGGCATATATTACATTTAAAAATTTTCCTTTGAAATTAAAATGCATACACACTTTTGTTCAAATTTATAAAAGTTACTATCATTTTTCTCCCATTTAGTGTACTTTTCAACATACATTTTATTAGGTAAGTCATTGCAGATGTTGCACTAATGTATGATGTTCATATCATCTTAAATGTGCTTTCAATTGCATGTCTTTTTAGTATATAAGTTTGTACTTCATATTAGGAATTTTATTAAAATATACCCCACAAGTTGCAACATTCTGGAGTCTAATACAAGAGTTTCAAAAATTTAAACAGTTTTCATTGTTTGGGCTGTCATGTAATTGACTCAATTTTTCTTTTCCTGACAAATTGATTAATTTCAACCTCCTCCTGTTTTCAAACTTTGATATTAAAAATTTCCAATTGATGCAATCTCTTATAATTTTGACATCATACTGAAATACATAAAAGTTGAATCACATAGTAAGTCTAATTCTCAAAGCTAAGTTTAATCAACAATGGCCACCATAAGGGAACTGCAGAGTCTCCATGATTGAGGGTGTGTTTGTGAAGAAAATCAGCCTTGATAACTAAGTTCCTATTATAATTAATGAGATGTTAATTATGAATCATGTGTGGTCACAGCTTCCAAGGGAAATTCTGCTTCAAAAAGTAAGTAGGATTATAGTTTTCATCCCACATCCTATATTTATCTAACTTTATATTCATACTATTGTAGAGAAAACAACAATCTTTCATTTGAACTTTTAAGCCAATTTACAATATCATTCACTATTATTCAGAAGTGAACTTTGAAAGTTTTACTTTGAGTCCGTAACTTAGATGAAAACAATCTATCATTGAAATGAACTGAGTTTCTATTCGAGGTATTCAACAATAATGAAATTCTTTAACTGCTAGTTTATCTGCTAGTGGAACTTATGTATCAAGAGTGGTTGTTCTTATCTTTCATATATGCAAGAATCCTTGAAACCAGTAAAGTATATTGCTTTAGAAGAACAATCATCTGATCTTAATGAAACTTCAGTTTCAAAAATGAAATGTATACATACATATTACGAAATTACATATATCATCTCATCGCCTTGGTGTATAGTCTTTTAAAGATAAGTGCTAGTCTTTGAAGTAGTTAGTAGTAGTTTTTTTTTTGGCTGAGATACAGCAACTGTTCATGTGATCAGTGAATAGCTATATATTTTATTGTAATAATAAGTATACATAAATATTTTTCAGTTGTTATACTTATGAACTTTATTGAACATTGGGAATATATTCTTACCTTTTTATTATATTTACATTTCTTTTATTATTATTGTTGAAAGGATGAATACATGTTGAATCAAAGGATATAAAAATAACAAAAACATTTTAAGGTAATATTTTATGTATTCCACAGTAGAACTATTCATTCTCTATCTCCCAATACATATTTCCCACAAATCCAAGTGATAACTTTCCATTTCTTCCAATGAGCACATTAAGTGGCAGCCTCTCAGCCCTGGTACCATGAGTAAGGTCACCAAATGACCTAGGAGCAACAGTTCCCAGTGTTTCTCTCATTACTACTCAAATCCACAAGATTCATCCCTCTCTCTGGCCTCACTCTATAAAACTACTAACATTTTTATTTTTGATTGGCCTATTCTGTTAATTTCATATAAATTTAAGCATACACTATGTGATCTTTTATGAATGGCTTCTCTTTTCGTACTATTTTCAAGGTTCATCCATGTCACAGCACTTTATTGCTTTTTTATTCTTGTTTTTTTTTTTACTGTATAGAGATATAATGTGAAACATTTTTACCAGACATCTTAAATGAATATTATTTGTATAAGTGAGAAATTAGTTAAAATGCATCAAAAAGGATAAAGAAAAATGAAGCAATTTATTGCTATTTTTGTGACTCTACCACTTGTCAATTTGAAAATGGCTCACAATATATGTACCACATACTACTATTTGAGAATGCCCTGACAGTAAAAAGTGGACATTCACCAAAACCATCTTGGTTTATCTTAAGGAAACTATTAGTGAAAGTAGTTACTTAAAATATGAAAAATACAGAAGAGACACCAAGCCATTTGGAACACAGAGACAACAGTTGTAAGCCAGGCATAGAGCAGAATTATGGATATGCTATTTTCATTGTATAAAACATATTTTTTGTTGGTAGCTACTGAGTTAGTGATTGCTTACACGTGTGGAGCAGAAAGCACAGAGCGCAGAGGAGAGCCCAAAAGGCATGGAACGCCAAAAAAGCCCCCTGAGAGCACCAAGTGCTAGAGGCAAACAGGTGTTCTAGCCCCAAGAAAATGGGGTAAAAGGAGTGAGCTAGTTAAGCAAAGTGGTGTAATATGACAAATGTATAAATAAACACATTGTGGAGATTGAGTAGTCTTTTCCTCCCATTCGGAGGAAGGGCTCAACTTGACCCTAGCTTTCTATCTTTATTTTCTTCATTCTTTCATCATTGTCCCCCCCCCCCAGAAAAAGAGTTCTCATGGCCACAACATTTTTTCATGAAGATAATAGATGAGCATAATGTCTGACCAGTAATAGTCTTTGTATACCCATTTTTCAATGAGTTATTAGAGTTGTTCTTTAAATAAATACACATTCATGAAATTTTTTTTTGCAGCAGAGTTTTGCTATGTCATTCAGGGTGATCTTGAGCTCAATTTGTAGCCCAGGCTGGTCTTGAACTTGCAACAATCCTCCTGCCTTAGCCTGAGTGCTGGAATTACACCTGTCTATAATGCATTCTTGTAGTTAATAATTGAAGTAATGTCTCTGTTAGCACAACAATTTATGTCTTATGTAAATATTAGTTCAAGTTCATTTTTATGAATTATAATAAACTCATTTTTGGAAATTTTCTTGAAAGTAAAGTGATTTTAAATGCATTCTTACATAATTTTCACATTATCAATTTTAGAGATGTTATCATGTCTACCCCGTCACAGGTTGAGTCCCCTGAAAAGTTGACTGTGAAGTAGACATTAGTGTCCAGAATACTTTTAAGCATAATAAACTTGTTTTATTAGTTAAATATTTGTATCCCATCCATGTATTTAATATGATATTACACATTTTAAATTGATTGAAATTAAAGAGATCTCCAATTGGAAATGGAATTTTCAAAAACACAATTAATATTTTCAGGTTGTATGTTTCAATGAAAATATAAAGAAAATGATTTGCTTCCATCATTATTGAAAGATTATCTAGTCCTTTCATGTATAAAATAGAAGTGAGAAAATACACCCTGAAAATCTAGAATATTTTTAAGGTGTATTATTGGATTTACAAAACAGTTTTAAATTTAATTTTCTGTCTCAAGTTTCAATAATTTTAGTCTGTGCAATAAACTGACCATGGACAGATAAAAAGAACACATGAATATTTTATATGCCTAAGCACAGGAGGCACACACATATTGTATGAGACTCCAAGAAAGGTGAGATAGCTGAAAATTACATGCAGCTAAACAAAGGGATTGCAGCTTGGATTTCCAGGGCACAATGAAGCTATCGAAGGTAGTGGTGGAGATCTTAACTACATAGATGAGGTCACCAAGGTTGCAATCTCTAGTGGTCATCTCTTTTCTGGGCCAACCATCAGATCTCAAATCTTTTCTTCCTGTGAAATATTTTTCTTAGGTAGAAAGTGGAGCTTCAGATAGAAAGACTCTTGTCTACATCACTTGTTTACTTCATTAATTTAGATAGATGTTTCTTTTTCTGAAAGGAAAATTTTTCAAAATCATTCCTGTGTCTGCTGAGGTCTATATCTTCCCTGAATAATCAACGTAAAATATGTCATGTATTTTTTTTACAGTTTCATATATGCAAAGAAGAATAAAATTGGACACACAGAGAAGTTAGGCTTTGACTAGCTTCAGTGAAAAATACAGTCAAACCTTAGGGGAGTTCAGTTTGGTTGAAGTTTGTCTCAGGTTGTGGGAGGAAGCCATTTTCTGATTTCTTCCTTGATCAGTCACTGGGTCTGGGCTGCCAACGAAGAAATAGACACGATGTGAGAAATAATGAGTTTCTCCAGCTCAGAGAAACAGTATCTGGGAAGGCTAGAAGTTGAAGTATGGCTCTTGGAAGTACTTTCAGCCACTGGACAAACAAATCCTTTATTGCTATTGGACTCAGGGCAATGTATCACAGTATCTGAGTCACTCTCTGCATATCACTAATTCTTTAGCTTTTAGTAAACTTTAGAAATATTTTTAAAAAATTTTTTTATTTCTCTTTATTTTATTTGTACATGTTTGCAGCACACAGAAATTAACATTCATCATGGGAAGTTAGTCTGTGTACATAGCACATCTTAATTATTTTATTTCGTTCCCTCTTCTGATTGTTCTTCTCCCATCCCTTTATCTCTCAGTTCCCTTTCATTTACTTCTCTTGACTAAAAGAAACAAAAATTCTAACTGAAATCTTGATGTATGTTGGCCTTTAGCTGGATGCATAATTTGGAACAAACTCATTAATTATTCTAATACCCATTTTTCCTCACATAAAGTTATGGAGGCTATATTTGATCTCTACCAGCTTTTCAAATTCTAGTATCTATAAATATAGGTGTGGTTTTTGTGTGGCATTTAGCCTTTTTGAAGTGGAAAAGTCTTATCACCTAACAACCCATTGCTAAACAATGACCCTGTATCATCTCCCACAGAATTAGGACAGATCATCACAGGCACTGAATGAGTTTTCTATTGTTACATAATAAAACAACACAGGGCAAGGATTTAGCTCAGTCTCATAAGTGCTTGCCTGGCAAGTGCAAGGTTGTGGGTTTGAACCCTGGTACAAAAAAATAAATAAACCAACACAAATTTAGCAGCTCAACACATGCATTATCCATATACTATCTCATAGATCCATAGGTGAGAAGTACAAATGGCTCAGCTGTGTTGTCTCATCAACTTCTTAGGTTGAAATTAATGCATCAGCTGGGCTGGCTGCTCATTTGGCATGTGAGGTTTTCTTTCCAATTGTTGGTAGAATGCAATTCCTGGCAGTTGTAGTGCTGAGACTTTCAGACTCTAAATGTGACTTCCTTCTGTTGTAATTTATCTATAATTATTTGCTTTTATCCTCAAAGCTGCACAGAGTTTGTCTCTAACTCTTCGCATTTTCCTACTCTATACCCTTTTAAGAGCTTACCTGAGTAGATCAAGTCTCATTAGAAAATCCCAATCTGATTAATTCCATTGATTTGGGGGTTTAAATTAAATCGTAAAATATCAGATTTCATGTAATAAAGCTATTCAAGAGAATAGCATTACGCATTATGCATTATGCACCGTGAGGTTAAACTCTCAGGAATATTTTTAGAATTTTCTTTTTCAAATGGAAAAACTTGAGTGGTAAAGATATTCTTGCAGTTAAACAAAGTTGGTCTATGTGCTTTCACATACTGACTTTCATAAAGGAAAGACCTTGTGATTGAACATGATTCATCTGAGATTAAGGGAGAAAAAATTTATCAATAGTTCCACTTGACAAGAGTAAGCTATGGTATTTCGCTGTGCTGAGTATAATCACAGAGCTCTAAGATGAAAGACAAGGGAAATTTTGAAATGCAAAATTATCAGTCTTCTAGCTGCCAGAATTTTCCATCATGTTTTCTGGAATCGCATTCATTCCTTTGCAGTGCCCTTTTCTTACCATGAGACCTGATGAAATTGCATTTCTCATGGACTTTGAAACTGTAACTTTCATAATCCTGTCTCGATATTGGTTCTCAGTTTATTTGCTCCAGCATTAAGGAGATGAGAGTTTTTTCAGAACCACTGTCAAGACTTTCACATTTTTTTCTCATTACTAGAAGTGGAGTATTGTAGCCTTTTGCACTTTTTCTTGCACAAATTTTTAGGGCAGTCATAAGAATTTCGATACATACATAATCTCAAACGCCATTATTGTTTCTATAACAGCTATCCAGTCATTTTATCCCTCAGCAGTTTGTCTTCCACCCTCATCTATTCCATGTTCTCACCAGCAATATGCAGACTGTTTGTGCTATTAATGCATGATATAGTTTATCACTCTCCTACTCCCAGCTGGAAGGCAATCTGCACACCTCCAGTGTGAAAGCAACACAAGTCCATAGTCTTATTTTTAATATCTTCTTCATAGATCTACAAATATTACCAATTATCAGTTGATAATTTCAAAACATGTTTTTCTTTTGGTAATTTGAAAACAAATATATTTTTATATAAATTACTTTTTGTATAAAATTCAGGGCAGTATTTATTGACTATAATAAGAAATCATGAAGAACTCCAAGGCAAATAAAAACTGCATTTATCAATTACTAACAATAAGCTTAGTGGCCAAGGGGAAGAGAATTTATTAGAACTCAAAGAAACACATTGTGTTTAACACATTTCCTCAGTGGGAACAGTAGAATGATGGGGAAAAAAGAAATCTCAGTATAACTCTTCATTTTGGCATGTCATCTCCACAGGAGTATGCAAAGCCTGGCAGGTCAGTAAAGCACAGGTCTGAGTGTGTCTGCACAGGGAGATTTTACACATAGGTCAGCACACTGAGGAGGAAAGATGCACTTCAGGTGTCGGCAGAACTAACCAGTAGGCTTGTGGCCTAGATGGAATCAAAAGGAAAAGAAGAAGAAAGCACACCCATTTTATAGATATCTAATCTTCCCAGTAGTTGTGCCCTTTGCTGCCTTTGCCTTTGGACATCAGACTACAAGTCTCCATTTTTTTCAACCCTCTAACAGTTACTAGCACTAATGATTCTCCAAGGAGTTTCCAGAACCTCAGTCTTGAACTGGTGCTTCATCCTGGATCCTTTTTTTACTGTATGTTCTTCTTGGACTGAGCAGCTACTTGGTTCTCTGGCTTTCTAATGGACCAAGGGCCATTGAGAGCTCTTCTGTCTATGATTCACTAAGACTACCTGATAACTCCCCTTCCATACTTATGCATATATTTTTTATCAATTCTGTTGCTCTAGGGAGCACTAATTATATAAATTTTGATACCATAATGGAATCTTTGCTGTGATTATCCCTGACCATGTAGTTCAGAAGCCTTTGGAAGTGATCCATGAAGAAGTTTGGGGCAGGTTTGGAGATGTAGGCTGGAGAGGCCCTAGAATGCTATAAGCTTATGGGAAATTCTACTTAGATTTTATAAGATCAGAATGGTGATAGGAATGCAGGTAGTAGAGGCCATGATTAGGTTTCAGCTGGGAATAAGAACTCTAATTAGTAACTAGACTACAGGCCATATGTGTTACACAGAGTTTGTCTAGATTTTGCAAATGTCTAAGACTTTACAGGAGACTGAGATTAATGGCAGTGGTCTAATTGCTCTGGCACAGGAAATGTCAAGGCAGTCGTACAGTTAGGCTGTGGTACAGGTCTTGCTGGATGCTTTTAGCTATAATTATAGTATAAATTGGAAGGGAAAAGTAGAGCTTAAAGATGTGAAAAGTTTGGTGTTTCAACAGAAAGGAAATGCCTGAAAAATCGGATCCAAGGAGAACAGTTACTAAAAGATTAGCATTAAAAGTAACTCAAGTACTTTTTACAAAAGATAGTGAAGGCATCCTTCAGGAATTGGTCAGATCTCATCCTTTCCAAACTCAAGAATGAAAAAAGATAATCTCTTTTGAAAGATTTTGTTTTGAAAAGAGAGTCCCAGGTACCCTGCTTATTCAGGACCACCTAGGGAAGTTTTCCCCCAGAGACCACTGCAGCCATGGTCTAAGGAGCTCCTCCTCAAGCTGAAGGCAGACTTGGATGCCATTCATGTGATGCTGGTTTCAAGATATTTAGAATGCAGAATGTGGGATCATGGAAACTTCCACCCAGATTTCAAAAGAAGGACAGACAAAACCTGAGTGGTAAGATCAGAGTCACTGACAAAAGACCCTAAAGCTGATGTGTAAAGTGATGTCAAAGTCGCATTTTTAGACCCCAGAATGTTAGAGATGCCACATGAATGTGGCATAGCTGCTGAAAAAAAAAAAAAAAAAAAAAAAAACAGGCAGTGTTTTCCCAAAGAAATGTTATGTGGACTGTCATCAGCAGGACAGAGTGCTTACCTCTCCCCACAGCCTGCTTGGGTGCTAGACACGTAGTTACAGGATTTCCTTTTTTCTCCTGGGTTTTGATTTGATAGAGTCTGATTTCTTTCTATTCTATTCTTCCACTTTGGAATGAGAATATTTACCCTATACCATGGTATATTGGAGATATATAAACTTGCTTTATTTTATAGAGGCCTTCAGCCAAGAGTTTGCCTTGTTCATCACCTGGAGATTTTAGGCTTGGAATTTTTGGCACTCCTGAAACTATTAAAACTTTGACAACTTCTAGAAATAGACTACATATGTTTAATGTAATGAGACTGAACATGAATTTTTAATGGACTAGGAAGAGAATGTTATGAAATAAACTGAAATGTTCTGTCTAATTTATATGTTCAGAGGTAGGCCTTGTTGGAGGTGGGAGGTCACTGGAGCATGACTGGAACCAGAAATACACACTTCCATAGTCTCTCCTCCTTTAAGTTTTAGGAGGATTTGAGTCTGAGTAATGGGCAAGAGACTAATAAACTCCATATTCCAATATCTGTTTCCTTCCATGTTCCAAATCTCCTGATAGAACCTCCTTGCATGAGTTGATTTTCTGTCACTCTCATGAATCCCTTCTGATGAGGAAAACATTGTCAACCAGTTTCTTTAAGAAAATTCTAATACATATTTTAGACAGAGTTTATAGGAAAATTTTAAATAAACTAAGAATGTGCCAAAATTAAATAATTTCAACATTTTAAGCATATGTGAAAATAATGGATATGCCTCAATAAATGAAAACTAAAATATGTTTATAACATCTATTCACTGTAAAATGAATTAAATTTAATACCAAAAATATTAATTCAATTTAAAAGTCAAAAGTAAGCGAAAAAGAGAAAAATATGTTCTCTGGAACAATTAAAAATGAGTATTTA